TAACCATTACACCATGTCACTGTGTCCATTAACGGAAGACATAAAATGAACGGAATTCGTTTTAAATATGTTCAATTGATCGTTATCCGCCAATGGCATCATCTACAAGGAACCTTTGACATAACTTTCTTTGCATATATCGTGGGGAATCACCATCTAGACCGCTATTTCTTGATGTGTTGGAAATATTTTTCGTGCTGGAAATCTTCACTAAAGAATTCTAAATGGTCTAATTTCAGCTCTTCACTGCCCACCGGAGTTTCTAGAGCAAAATCTATTTTTTTTTTAAATTAGAAATGCGAAAAGTGTTTCTTTTAATCTTCCTCTTAAGTACAAATAACATTAACACAGTTCCATAATTGGGTTGAAAATCATTGAGGTTGCTGAGAAATCACAAATGTCAGTAGGCTCGCAGGATCCGATTCTTTGGGCATCAGCTCAAAATGAAGATTAGAACTGATAGAAAACGCTTGCATTCGACGGTCTTTAGCGAAAGGTGGGTGACTGAGGCAAGTTTGGTTCGTTTGAACGGGGCTAGCCTTGATTTTCTCTTACAGGTCAACCTATGTCACATGGGGGTGGTTTCCTGTGGAGCCCTCCCCTGGTTAGGCTAGACAAGCTTTGTGTACTTAGTTAATGTAAGTGTTGTTCCTGGCCTGCTCCCGGCTACATCTTTGGTTATTATCCAAGTTCAGATTCCCAACCTCTCCAGTTTGTTTTGGTCCCCACTTTTCATCTCAACTGGGTCAGCTTTATATCTTTCCCATGCCCGCATATATTTTTCCCTTTCTCTCTCCCTTAGCGAGAGAACCTCTTGATTTTGCCCAATGAGCAGAATACAGCGGCCTCTCTTTTTTGAGGGTTGGACGGGTCCTACTAACATCAGTTATGTTTTAGCTTGCTTTGTGTTGGTATTTAGTTTGTTGTTGCGTTCATCCCCTCCCCTCACATTGTCATATGCTAAACTTTTATCTATGAAATATTTATTATCACCAATTTTTTAAATCTCGGGGTGCATTTTGTAGGTCCCCCCTGAGAGGATGCGGTATTATGGTGTATGGAGGATTGATTGATGATGGACGAGTTTTTGTGGTGAATGGGCAAATTGTAACGAGTGAATGGGTCGTGAATCGGATTAGCTAGGTATAAGATAGCACAGCCTCAATCCCTTTTCGGCCTTGTGCTATAATTGTATTTTTTATACAATAAATATCGTCAGTAGGCTCGCAGATTAGAGTTAAATTGTGATTTCATTGGGTTAAAAGTAGTAGAGGCGGCTGTGCTTCTATGATCAAAAACTGAAGTAGACTAGATAGGACTTGGGGTTGCTTCCGTGTACCGTATTGAACCTAACTTATCAGCGTTCAAAATATAACCATTTTGTGCATTGGGAATGTGAAGAAAACATTTGAATCTATTCGCCAGTATCTTCCGAACCCGTTAGGAGAGAACCACTAAAGATTTAGCTAAATTTTAGGCTTTCTGTAAATAATTCAAATATGAGAAAGAAATAGTTTTTTTTTTTTTTGCTTGTTTTACCCGAGTCTGATGGAAAGAAGAAAAAAAATGTTTTCTTCTCTTTCGCAATGGAAAAATAACTGATAGAAATAAATTACACTATTTACATTATTTGAACTGTTGCCCTTATCTTCGTTGCCATATTCACGACGTTTCGGCCGTTGTGCGCTCTGGCCTTCTTCCGGTGATTGGAAATTTCAAACTGAACCTTTTATTTCGTCAACCAGAGCAGATTGTTCTAGTTCCACGTGTCATGCTTCTTTCGGATGTTTCAGTATCAGTTATCTCTCTTTAACTCAACTCTAAATTTTTGTTCACCTCATCTGTATTGCACTCACAACTCTCTGGGTCAATTCACTGGATTCAACCAACGCCCCCCTGGGCCTTGAGGACATTTTGAAACTTATAAACCTAATGTCTCAGTTTCCGTATTTTCTATTATTAATAAATAAAATTTTATTTCGCGTCCCTATAATTTTTTTTTAATCATTTCACCCCAAGGCAAGAGCTTTTGGGGGGGGGGGACTGAGATAGAGAAAAACTAAGGAGAGAGGGCAATAAAAGAACAAGAATTAAGACAGAAGATAACGATTGACATTGCATTTAAATTTTTGAAGATCAAATTGACTGGAAACTTATTAAAAGTTATTTAGTAAAGAATGAATAAAAAGGAACTGATGATTTAGTCATAATTTATACACCTACACTTATTAGCTATATAAGTGTATATAACATCGAGAAGCTGCTGAAAACTTTCTAGCCCAACAAAGAAGAGATTCTAAAACAAATTCTGATGTTTGGTTAGATAAGAGATTGGTCGAGGTAAAATTCTTGTCAGCACACACTCACAGTATTATAAGATTTTACTGAATGGGGTAAGTTATATATAAACTGACCCCGCACCCCCGAATTACTGCATATGAGGGAGATGTTGAAAATTTCTCAGCCTGACCAAGAAGTGATTGCAAAACAAATTCTAACATGTCAGATTATGAGAAACGGATCAGAGCAAAGACTTTTCAGCCTGCTTTAGCGTTATTTTTTTCTTTTTCAAGGTGTAAAATAAAGCCCAAGAAAATGTATTGATCGTAAAGTATGAGAACATTGCTGAAATGCCGATCATGGCTCGCCACAGCTTCCTATCCTGTATAGTTCAAAGCAATGTTTGTTATATCTCTAACTCGTTGTTCTGACATCCATAGTTATAGTTTAAAGGTTTCCACACCTGAGTATCATATTCTTCAAGCCTTTTTGCTCCAGTATGTGTTTCCAAGATTTTAACTCTTTCTAATCCTAAGCATGAGTGTATGTTACCAATTTCCTTAAAACTTCCTCATTGCTCACATGTTCTGTCCATGTCAACCTTCTCTTCATGAGGAAATTGTTCAGGACTTTTGTTTCCACAAAGTCTGAGACAGAAGAAACTGTATGAAATGTACACAGGCAGCATTTCTGAAAGAAGGAACATTCACAAGAGAAGACAGACTAAAATAAGTCTACAAGAAAATATTTTCAGCAATGGTTTTCTAAGACAGACATTTCAAATCCTGGTGTATATTGCATTTGGAAGTAAGCTCATTACAAGACTTATTCCAAAATTAGTCTTCAATGTGATTTTTTTTCCCCTCCAAGATGAAAAGCTGAATTAGACAAAGAGGTAGTGTTGAATTTCCTGAGTTCTCCAGACCTCAAGCCACTAGACATTTTATTGAAATAAACTCAAGCGATTTGTGGTGTTTGCAATTCTAGCCCCCCATATTTTCAGCAGTGTCAGGATCAGATTAGCCATCATTTCAAACATAAAAAAAAATTCAGAATGATTCAATATTTCAATGCTGAATTTCTCTAATGGGCATATGCACACTTTTGCAATAAGTTTTTTTTTTTTTTATAAACATTTTGACTTAGAATTTAGAAGCTACCCTATTTCAACTGGAGTCATTATGTCACAAAACAGGAGTATTTTGGCATTAGTCAAGTACTGATAACTCAACTAGTCACAGAATGATTTTTTTATTTAATATTCCTCCCCCACCCAATAAAATGCGCCTCATACAACAGAAAATATAGTAGCCAAGAAAAATTTGAAGTTCAAAATCATTTAACATACATACATATATATACACATATATATATAAGCTGTAGCAGAAGTTTGTCATTAGCAGTTGAATCATGGAACCACAACAACAGAAATTTCTGTCATTTCTATGACTACACTACAAATAACTTGAATTTGAATTGTCTGCAACTAATCAAGTTTTTATCTTTGGTATTTAACCATAATTATTCCTTTTTTTTCTTTTTTTTTTTAAAAAAAAAAAAAAAAAAGAAAAAAAAAAGCAAAGCAAATATCTTTATTAAACCAGGAGAAATGTAACATTCTTTTTTTTAAAACCATCTTGAGAGCTGGGGGGACGCAAGAGAAATGAGGCTGATGGTTATGGAGAATGAGCAGCGCTGAAACTTCAAAGAAAAGAAAAAAAAAAAGAAAAAAAAAAAAAAAAAACCCAGTGGTTAGTACCACAAAAGCATAAAACCTGTACAAGTTCCTTTATTAGATAAATATTAATCACACGAAGGGACTACTGTACATACTGGAGTGGAGATACCATCGTCATGACAACTAGAGTTGCGATAGTGGTAGTGGTAATGGTAGCGGGGCATACAGCTGTGTTGGTATTGTCTGACTGCACAGTTTTTTTTTTTGTGGGATATATATATATATATATATATATATATATATATATATATATATATAATACAATCCCTTGTAGCAATCCATACACACATACAAAAAAAGGACATACAAGTGAATTTTGACTGACGTAGCTGCCATAGAGTAAAAGACAAGGAATCTGTAGTGTGTGTATGTATGTATGTATGTATGTAACTTTTGAAGAAGGGAAAAAATGGAGGGTAGGGGGGAAGGTTCATGCCTAAACAAACGTTTCTCCTTTTTCAACTTGTCTAAAAAAGGATAAAAATTGATTAGAAGTTAAATCATTTCAATTAATGAAACCACCATTTTGTGTCAAATGAGAAGGAAGAGGAAAAACAGTGAGTGAGGGAAAAACAAATAAACCCAATCTATAGAAAACTAGCCTCGTTTTGGGATTATGAACCCAGCCTCGTTTTGGGATTATGAACTTACAAGACAAATAGGTATATTTTATAGCCATTTTAACAGTTTCCACAATGAAGTCAGTAGAAAATAGATAGACAGGGTTTTTTTTTTTTTTTCAATTAAATGTCCTTAGCTAAGGGGACATCATTTGAGGATTTCTCAAAAGAAAAACGTGTATATGCAAACGTAATATTTCCACCTTTGAGAGAGTTAGATACTGGACTTTCTTTGGAAAAATTGTGTTGTCAAAACCCACCTGTGAACCTGGGATGTTGGAGTAAAAACTCCTGATTTTTCTATTGAAAGAAAATAACCGTGGCGGGTGGGGGGATATCCTGGGGGATGCAATAAGAATCAATTAAGAAGTTTCCTGCTGACTGACTGACCATTTGGAGAGAGAGAGAGAGAGAGATAGATAGATGAATGCATGGATGCTAGGCTGGGGAGGAAGAATAGGGAATGGTGGGTAATGCAGCTGACAGTCAAGCAGAACTGATCCGCTGTGTCTGTTACAACTGAGGTAGAATTGCCAATGTGATGTCAACATAGTGACCGAACACATGTGTTCATTTCAGCACAAACCCAAAAAAAAAAAAAAAAAAAAAAAAAAAAAAAAACGTTCATACAATCCAGCAAGTAATTTTTGAGCCCTTTTGTTGCAAGGTCAAACATTATTTTATCATTTGAAGAAGACGTTCCTTCCTTATGTGAAATCCAAGAAATGGCTTACCAGATAGCAAACCAGAATGACACGGAAAGGAAAAAATAAATATTCATTCCAGCAGAATTTTTAAACATATTGAATAGAGCAGATTGAAATTATCCAAAAATTAATGAGAATTTTAGTTTCTCCCTCCCAAAGGTTTCTGCTTCTTTTTTTTTTTTTTTTTAAGCACCCCCACAATTAAAAAGACAATTGACAGGTCATTTGAAAAGAACGCATACCAACAAATGAACAGATAAGTCCTTCTCGCTCGGCTGGGTAAGTTGGCAGCCATTTGCATTCAGGGAAAGATGAAAAAAAAAAAAAAAGGTTTCCTGCCAAGACATGTAACCCCGGATGCAGGGAGGCTGAATTGTAGAGAGAGAGAGAGAGAAAAAAAAAAAAAAAAAAAGAGAGAGAGAGAGAGAAAAAAAAAAAAAAAAAGATGAGAAGAGAGATAAAAAAAGAGTTAGAGTGATAGCAAAGAAACATATGAGGAAAGGGTGACAGCTGGAGAGGGGGTGGCAGCTGACAAAGAAAAAGAGAGAGAGAGAGAGAAAGTTGGAGATGGGGTGGCAGCTGGCAAAGTTCAGTAATCAAAACACTTGTTACCCCTTTTTTTTTTTCTTTTTTTTTTTAATTATTTTTCTTTTTCATACAAAATTCATACTTCTGTTATTTTTTGGGGATTTTTTTTTCTTTTTACAAGAATGTCTGAAATAGGAGAAAAATATAGTTAAAAAAAATGATAAAGAAAAAATACAGAATGTGTTAGAACTATGAATGTAAATACCTTACCAGTTTTATTCAGTGAAGACAAAGCAATTACTCTTCTAGAAATTTCCTACAATGAAGCTGAAGACTTTGCCGTGGATTGGGTTTGGAGAGTGAAATGGGAACGAGGGAAGGGTAAATTATAAAGCCTGCAAGACTATAAATGATTTTAAGATTTATTTTAAGGGAAACACACTTTCAAATGACAGGAAATTGAGAAAATGAAGTGAGGGAAGAGATGGTACGAGAAGGATTTGAAAGTTTGATTAATGTTAAAAAAAAAAAAAAAAAAAGAAAAAAGAAAAAAGAAAAAAGTCCGTTCTTTTAAAAAAAGCAAGAAAAATTTTATAAAGAAAATAAAGAAAGTTTCTCTCGAATTTTGTTTTGTAGCCCAGCGATGTAAAATAGAAAGGTGATTCAAGATGGCGATTAATCAATCATGTCTGAAAATTCATACCATTAACGATAATGTAATGAGTTGACATTTTTGTGGGTAAGCTAAGAAAAAGGACAAAAAAGGGGCCAATGCAGTGGGCAATGTCATATAATACAAATGACAGCACAATTAGCTGATCCCTTAAATAAAACTACTGCAGATCATGACAGAGGACATTGCTACAGACGTACGTACAAGGCAAATTTGGGGAAAGAATACAAGTCCTCATGTTGCTTTGAGAAGAAAAAAATATATGTTTATTACGGGGAAAATAAATAAATAGAATTGACTATTTTCTTGAAAGAAAATTTAACCCAGATTTCAGGTGAAACTGAGATTTAACTAAACAGTATTTTAGTTTCAGCCATCTTATGATCAAGGGCAAGGGTTAATGAAGATTAAATAAAGAAAAAAATATTATTACACATGCTTAAAGATTATCTTGAATTTCAATTGCTACCTTTTAGAATTTTAAGCAACAGGTTTAAAATAACAAAAGATGGAATTTGACACAGAAGCAATAAGTTTTTTTTTTTTTTTTTTTTAATCAGAGAGACGTTATATAAAGTAGCGTGGAGGAAATTACGAAGATATTTATTTTACAGAAGAAAAAGAAACAAAAATATGAAGAATGCCAACACTTAAAATAAAAAAAAAAAAAAAAGACTTGAGGTTTGATTCAGTTGTGTCAGTTCACAGAACAGGGTTGTAAAAGAAACCCAACCCCACATTCAGGGAGAAAGAGAGAGAGATGGCTTGGTTGTGTACCTTTTGCAATAAACATAACCATACAAGCAAGGAACATGATTAAATAATCTAATGATAATTCATATATATATAAACATTTATTTCTAAAGAGTTGATGGATTTGTATTTTTTTTTAAATCGGACATTTTTTTTTTATTTTTTTATTTCAAACCTTATTTTTAGTGGATACCTGTATTTGAGTAGAACAATGTTTTTTCAAAAATTGTTTATTTTGTCTACAGGCCTGCACATCAAGAGAACAAAATGTGACCTTTGACAGGATTCAAACATACATTCGATTTTGAAGAAAGAACCAATGTCCGATTCTGGTGTGCTTTAGAACACTAAGCACATACTACTCAAGTATGGGTATCCACTAAAAATAATGTTTGAACTAATATATTTATTTTTATAATTCAAATGTTATTTTTGGCAGATAACCATATTTGAATAGACGTCCTGTTTATTTTTAACAGTATTTAGTTTGTCTACCGGACTACGTACTTGAGAAAACTTACTAAAGAATATGTGCCCTCCGGCCAACAGACGAAATAAATACTATTTAAAATAGAGGTATCTGCCAAAAATAATACTTGAAACAATAAAAATGTTTGATTAAAAAATAAAATCCTTTAATATTTTTGAAATATATATATATTTGTATGTTCCTTTTAACACACACACAAAAACATACATTTTCCCAGGTAACTTAGACAAAGAATGTTTGTACAAACTTATGATCTGCACTAGCAAAAGAGTTCTGTTGAACATGCCGGTGTATATATGTTTATTTTACACAATAGGGCAGATTTGGATATGATTCAACTAAACTAGGTAGTTCAAAATATACAATTTTATAATTTCTTCTTTTTTTTTGCCTTTTTGTGGCCATGTATGGATTTGCTGCTGACATATCTTCACAGCACAGAATCTTTAGCCTGTATACCACTGCCGAAGAACATTTCCAAAGAAAAAAATCTATTTTTTAGAGAGAGAGAGAGAAAATCCTGTTTGTATAAATAAATAAATAAATAAATTGATAAATATCTAATGAAAACTGGGGGGGGGGGAAGAATTATATATATGAAAATTTAAAAAAATTGTTTTTAGCACCCCCACCCATGTTTCTTTAAAAAAAATAAAAAGTGAATAAAACAATTAAAATGTAATAATGTGTAAAATAAGCAAGACATGATGGGAAGGGGAGGGATTTGTCACCCCAAATCCTAACAATTTTATTTTTTTTTTTTTTTTTAAAGAATTCCAGATCCATCTCAGAAGAAAAATGATCTAGCAATGGAATTGATAATTCCATTTCATTGACAGAGAATTTGGTTCCACCAGAATACAAGAACCATTTTCTGATCATCAGTCTTTGTTTGTCCCCCCTCCCTTCTGTGGCTCCTTCATGCTGACCACGCTGACCCACTCCATAGCACAAACCCCATGCGTCATCGGGTGAGGGAAGGAAAAGAAAATCGGTTTCACTGTTAAAGGGCATGAATTATTTTAAAACATTATAGAAGACGCCCATTCCATTTTCCTCTCGCCCTCTCTCACAGATTTGACTTGAAATTCTATCTAGTTCCGCTATTGACACTTGTAGCTTTTCTTCAAGCAATAGATAATTTCTTTAAGCTGATTAAATATTTAACTTCTAATTGGATGATGATAGCATCAGATGATGGCCATAAGAATAAAAATATTACATACAAATTATATATATATATATATATATATATATATATATATATATATATTGAAAGTGATCCGGAAAGAACAATACAGTTAAATACTGACATTCCTAACTTTTACCCATTTTTTGTTTTGTCAGTTTAACAGATAGCCAATAAAATAATGTCTCATGTTTATTTCATTTGTTTGTTTACATTCTCAAATTTGGAAGGGTTCAATTTTGATTTTGCAAATATGCTTGTGTGAGAAGGAGGGGAAAAAAAAAAAGAAAAAAAAAAAAGGTCACTCTTCTTCCACTCTCATATCTATATCTATATATATATATATATATATATATATATATATATATATGTGTGTGTGTGTGTGTTGTGAGAAAAAGATTGTGTACAACATTATTTGCAGGGTAAGGTTAAGTCATGCCTTTCTGATTCTAAGTGGGAACAAAAAAGAGGCCACCATCAAAGTAATCATCAAGAGGAAAAACAAAAAAGGAAAAAAAAAAAAAAAAAACACACCCGAGATTGGAGAGGTATATTATTATTATTATTATTATAATTATTATATAGAGGGAAATGCTTCAATTGTGTATACGAAACTAGTTTCAATTCCCAACCTGTCGCCTCTTGAAGCTTGCAATGATGAAATACAAAATGCATTCATAGTCAATACTCAGTGGTGATGGGTGGGGTGAGGGTAATGCGGCAGAAGGTTTACAAACCACAGGTGTTGGCTGACTGGGGTAAAGATAGTGGGATTCAGGACTTGGAGAGAAAAGATGCAAAATGCAGGGAGAATCAGATTAAGATAAATGAATGTTGAGTCAAGGATGAAATGAAAGGGCATAGAGAAAAGAAAAGAAAAAGGGATTCATTTGCGGAGCAGGTATTATGTTCATGTGAAATGGTTTGGAACAGGGGGGGGTCAGGGGTGGAGGGGGATGGAACTGAAGTGGGGAAACCAAATTGTTGATATTTGATCCTAATATCCAGGCAAGTAATAATTGAAAAATATATATGTATATTTATATATATATATATATATATATATATTTATTTATTTATATTTATATATATATTCATCTATATGTATATGATAAAATTGGATGTGATATTTTTTTTTTTCAATTTTCCCATCATTTTCACATTTAAAAAAAAAAAAAAAAAAAAAAATTTTTTTTTTTCTATATTTTAATTTTTTTTTTTGTTACGCCCATCCACTGTACAGGAGTTTGAAAGGGGGTCCTTGAATAGGGGTCCACGCGATTTCGCAGATCACTGCTGCCAATCATTGGTTTGATAGACAAAAATACAGTTTTTTGTTGGTTTTTTTTTTTCCTTCTTTTCTGATTAAACTTTTTTTTCTTTTTTTAATCCTCCTTTTTTCTCGTATATTTTTTTCAGCACTTTTCATATGGACATTTTTCCTCCTTATAAGAAAAGGATATTTTTTTTTTTAAAATTCTTCTTTTCTAGAAACAATCTTAGTTTTTTTTAATATGAAGTCACAAGTTTTTTTTTTTCCATACAGATGGGAAAAAAAAAAAAAAAAAAAAAACTACACTAAACTGTGACTGTTTTTTTGCCATATATATATATTTCTTTTTTTTTTCTTTTTTCCCTTTGTTAAAAAAAGTGTTACTGTTTGTGGTATTGACAACAAGAACCATGTTGCTGATATAATTTATAAACAGCAACTATAAGCTGAAAGGACATAATGTTCCCTTAATGGTAATATTCCTAAGTCAGTCCATTTTTTTGCTTTTTCTTTTATTAGTAGAATGCACACAAGGTTGCCCTTCAAATAATTGTACATCCATCAAATATAAAGGTGCCACCTTGATTGCTGCTTTTTTTTTTCTCTCCATTTCTTTTCAATTTTTTTTCTTTTTTTTTTTTTTTTAAATCATCTCTCTAAAGTCAAAATTGGCCATGTAGGTCTTAAGTGAGAGAAAATTTAAACAAAAATTTCACTCAATCATTCATAGGATTGCAAGTTTCCATTTATGACTGGCTCACAAATCTGAAAGACCTAAAAACTGAATTGCCGTGTGGGATAAAAATTCTCACTTTTCTTTGTTTCTTTCTTCCTTGCTTGTCATTTTTACTCTCCAATTGCAAATCTGCTCACTGGGTTTGCTAGCTAGGGTCCATCCAAATTCCAGTTTCCCCCTACGAATCAAATAGGGACAACAGATCATCATTGTTGTTGCTGCCGTTACCATTATTCCCTGAGCCTGGAGTCCCACCAGCACCGTCCCCAGCATTTTCAGGGGGTCCCAAATAAGACAAAAGCTCCATTGGATCTCCAATATTCTCAGGTAGAAGCTGAAAAGACAGTAAGTATCACATTAGATATATTTATTTTTTTAATTATTACTTTTTCCATTATCATAATAATGAGTATAATAGTAGTAATAATAATAATAATAATAATAATAAACATAATAATAAACAACCACATCAACAACTTACTTCAGACTTGAAAATGAACACCACTGAACATCTTTTGTGTTAGATTTTTCTCATTATTTAACAGAAATTCTTCTCTTAGTATGGCTCAGCTATTCTTCTCTTAGCATGGCTCAGTTATTCTTAGCCTTTCTTCAATCCCTGGGCCAGACTTGAACTCCAAGCAAAATTTAAAAAATCTACCCAACGGATTAAATAAAAGGTTCAGTTTGAAATACCCTGAGGGTTATCCAGATTGGAAGACAACTGGACAATGATGGGGACTTGTTCTTCCTCTTCTTTTATGAGCTGTGTCCCCCAAGATGTGGATGATCATGGCTCTCCACAATTTCTTCTCCTTTATAACTCTTTGTAGAGTTTGGTCCTTTTGCTATCTCTCCTAATCCCTGTTCAGCCAAACATTTACACAAGATCATTAAGTGTTATTTTCCTCTATCTCTTTTTCCTTTAATATGTCTTGTGTGCATCAAATTTTCAAAGCCCTCTTTCCTCATAATGTGCCCTAGAAATTTCAACTCTGTCTGATTCAATGTACAAGTGTCCTTTTTGTTATCATTTTCTCTAAAACTGTCATTGCCCGCATGTTCAGTCCATGGTATCCTCAGCATCTTTCTGTCGAACCACATTTCTGTTGCTTCAAGTCTCTTCATCTGTGAAGAGTGTGTCTCACATTCACTATCATATAGGAGGGCAGATATCATGTAACAGTTCAGTATGGTTTTCTTTGTTTTGGTATTTATAAAAAAAAAAATTGTTAATAGACTTTGCTCTTGGAGATCTGAATGACCATGCCTAATTCACACCTAATTAAAAAGACAACATATTCTATGTCTCTTCAGGACATAGGTGATGATGGCTCCCCATAACTTCCCATCTCTAACAGCTATAAGCAACATTTGACTTTTAACCATCTTTATCTTCACACTGCCATCCATTCATACAAACTCATTAGTAAGTATTTTAAAATATCAAAGTTTATAAAAAAAATACCTACATCAAGAGCTTCTTGACCTTGGCCTTCCCCATCAATAATAGCAGCTGGGTCAAAGTTCAAGTCACCCAAATTTCGATGATGTGACAAAGTGTCTGTTGTAGGTGTATTGCTTGTGGGCGTTGAGTTGTTGGGTTGATGACTAAGTGGATGATTGCCGTTGGATAAACTGTTCGGAACTTGTGATTGGCTGGGCGGTGTCATGTGATTGTTCATGCTTGAAGCAGTTTGCTGCTGCTGCTGCTGTTGTTGCTGCTGCTGCTGCGGCGGCTGCTGCTGCTGGTCAACTCCTGAATGCTGAGGCCGCAACTGTTGACCAGTCTGCTCACCAGTAGCTGGGTTGTACTGGCCTGTTGAGGGTGGTGGGATATGCCCACCCATCTGTTTCTCACTTGAATGTGGGGGCTGCTGCTGCTGCTGTGCTTGTTGCTGCTGCTGTTGTTGTTGCTGCTGCTGCTGTTGCTGCATAGGAGGCTGGCCACCTGGAGGAACACCACTCATATTTTCACTGATGTGGCTCAACTGTCCAGGAAAGTCTGGAGGTCGACCCTGGAAATTTCCACTTCCATCGTTATAATTACTGCCTGCAAATGGTGCACCTGCAAAAAAATAAAAAAATTAACTGCATTAAAATAAACAAGTAATTTTTGACTAATTTGACTATTGCCAGATTTGTATTGCTTCTCTACAAAAGTAACAATAACAAATGACAAACTAGAAATTCCACAGTATTTTTTATTTTATCACATTGATTTATCCTGAACATTATTAAAGAAGTAAGAGGGTATAAATGAAAAGAATAAAAATTAATAAGGTTTTTGCATTTCACTGAAGCAGACGTTAAACACATGAGAGTATTATCACCTTATCTTCATCCCTTTTCTTTCTTATTATGTATGCTTTATTTTTTTCGATAAAACCAAACAGGGTCTGATACATCTTTTTCTTTAGCTTTTCTTTGCAATCAAAACAGAGCAGTCCATTACTTATTCAAGGTAATGGTAAGGCAAGAAATAAGTATTTACCACAAGATTTGCTTTTACAGGTTTATTTCCAGCAACACATTCAACGTACCCCTACAGTGAGGCTAACCGGATGTAAACAGAAAGGTTAGGGATTTACTGCATCCACTGCTGCTATACCAAGAATGATAATGACAAATTGTGTGGATTCACGAGATGAGCCATTATTGACACTGTTAAGTGCCATATGTGATAGAGACACAGCAGAAGTTTCTCCCTACAGTAGGTTGCCGTTTTTTTCTATGGTAGACCGAGTTGCCAAACCAATTCTATAGGAGCCAATCTGCCCTGCTATTCAAGCCATAGACAGGTCTATACCTTTCAAAGTATTTGCACCTAAGTGAATGTAACAAATCCAATTGGAATTTTAACTTGAAACTCCAATTTCTTATTTAAGAAAACTTAAAAACACCTATCATATTTGACAATATATAAGATACACTTTCTCCCCAATAATAATGAATGGGGGGGGGTCTAGTCTGCATATGTGAATCTGAAGCTTCTTCAAGGTTAATTTTAATACTATCACTGTTCAGTTTTAGACTATAATTTTACCTCAGATGGTCAGTTCTCCCGAACCTGACACCATAATATTATTTACGTTATCATCATTGCTGTCATTGTAAAAAGAAAACTATAGTAGCAAAGTATTGGTAACATTTGTCTATACAAACTGACCAATTGTACCTAAATATGCCTCAGCACACCTGTCACTAACCAGATGGAAAAGTAGAGAATGAAAAATGTTATGAAAGAAAAAAAATGTCAGTAATGGTAAAACACTAACCTGGGAAATACAACATTAAGACCACAGAGAAACAGGTCTATCCTACAAAGCAGAACTATATTATAATTTCTTGCTTTATGGTCAGCTTGTTTTTATATACAGTAATGCTGTGTGTTAAATTGCTTTTGTAGTATTTTGAATGCTGCATGCTTAAATATTCTGAAAAACTTTTTCCTCGTTAAAATGGTGGTGCACCCAACATGTTTGCTTTTATGCCATTAAATATGATGGCTCTATTGTTACTAAGTGGAAACATGCAGTAAAAATATAGTGAAAAATTCATAAAATCATTATGCCTAAGAAATTTAAACACTGTTATATTTGCTAATGTATTATAGCAGTCTTTTATTAACATATTATAGCAGTTTACCTCTTAAAATGATATCTTCAAAGCATAAATTCTTGTGACAGAAAATAAATTTCTCACTGGAAAAAATAATTTACCTTTCTATGCCAAAACCAAAACAACCAAGAATGCTTACCATATTCTGGAGGTTTTACAGGGTAAGTCCGGGGTTTCATGTCTGGCATGTCTAAAAATAAAAGAATAAATAAAAAACAAGATAAGCAAATTGTGAAATTGATATAGAAGCAACAAAAGAGTGGAGTACAAGATGAAATAGCCATCTACATGGGTTAAGACACCCAGAATTGGATAGCATCTGGTTATGATAACAAACGAATCCTTAGAGGTGATGTTTTAATTAGCAACAAGTTCCATGCAACAAATGGATACGGACCTGAAAAGTCATGGAACTTTTGTGAGAAATCATTTTAGACAAAACCATTTTCTATACAATTCATTGCTTGAGATTCTCTACCTGCTGCTAATTAAAAACGAACTCCAAAGAAATAGACTGATTGACAGTTGCATTTACAGCAACTACAGAAAACAATTATTGAGAAAAAAAAAAAAAAAATTTGCTTTTGGCATGCTTTCAATGAATAAAATATTAGGAAAAGAAAAAAAAAAAAAATACTTGAGGTGAAAATAGTTTCAAGTGAAAATACTTTTTTTTAGGCATGCAAATATTTTCAATGACCAATAGAAAAATTGTAGTCTTTCACTGAACGGTTTCAAATGGTAAATGTTACTATTATTGATAAATCCGCATAAAAGAGAACAGGTAGGTACACTTCCTTTTCTCATAAACAAACCAAATTTGAAGACACAGTTGCAAACAAAAAGATGGACTCTCCCATCAATTTCAATGTATGAGGATCAAACAACCTCAGTTTTTATGTTTGTGTTGTATGCGACACTTCAGTTCTAGTAGCCTGCATATAAGTTCACATATTGTGCAACAGTGAAGATCAGAAATATTTGCTCACACTTTTCGCCATTGACTTTTGTCTCTTAGCCAGTCAATACAACCGATTTCAAAATTTGAAATTTCTGATACAACACTGGCACAAACTGCTAGAAATGTTATATTTAGTAGGTACATGAGTTTTAGTTGATATGTTTTTTTTTGTTTTTAAATGGTAAAATTAACATCCACCTGCCTAGGGAATTGAAAGTTATATTAAAAGAAAATAATATGCATCTTGGCAGGGATGTCTACTCAAACAAACATACACACTAAAGATGAAATTTATAAGAAAAATAATGTTTGGTTTTACAAAATCCATTAATTACTTTATGGTTTATGTTTCCAAGTGTAAAAAAAAAAAGCTAGAAGACATGGGCTTTGAAAGGCCACAAGAAATACACATTTCTTAAAGAGGGTAATCAAGCCAAGTTTTGGTAGGAGGTTTAATGGCTGGGCGGTTAAAGCATGCCTATCTTAAAGATGGTTTTCCCCAATTTGATTCTTGCCATTTGATCTAAAGACTTTCAATTGCTCAGGCCGGTGGATGTCAGTTTTATCATTTAGGAAAAAAAATTTAAGGATATTTATTCATCACCTGTACTCTCCAAATATGTTCATAGTAATAATATATATATATATATATATATATATATATATATATACTGGTTTATATTCTCTTTGGAATTATCCATACAGATTATGAAATTTTATATATATATAAAAATTACACACACACATTTATATAGCATGTAAACATGTTGCACACATTACATACACCATATATGAAACTGATAGTTTATTCCATACCAAATGCAAGTGCCGTCTGGAAGAGTCATGTTGGAGTGAATTTTTCAACTTATAGATAATATGTTTAATAAACTATAACAAAATAACTGTGCTTCGGAAAATTATTTGACAAATAATAAGTGTGCCATACCAAATAATTAGCATGCCCTTAATTGAAGGAAATCACTGTTTTTTAGCACTTGTCTTTAGTACACAAGTAATATTAAATTTTCACATCTGGGATTATAAATATATTTTTTCTAATTATCATGTTAATGCATGGGAAATCTAAGTCATCAGCTTATTACATAATAATAAGATAACTGATCCCATACTCTGTGTCCATTACAATCTTATATGAACACTAGATGACCTATACCATAAAAAATGACAGTATATGAAAATGCTCCCTCCCTCCAGCCTTTAAATACATTATAGATATTTTTCTGTTATTTTTGTTGTGCCTTCCTTTTTCCCAGAGTCAATCTTTTCTACTTGACTTTGTAAAACTCTTCTCTATTGTCATGATAATGACATCTGGCAATGCTAGTGCAAGGAAGATAAATAACACAGCAAAAACAAATCAAAACAGTTATAGACAAAAAGCATACAAAATACGTGTTGTATTATATTTATAGATAAGGCACATCGCATTTTATATATGGATGTTTTTCTGGATTTGCCGTTTTCATTGCAGTGAACTGATTCCTTTTTGAAAATCATTTATTTTGAAGGTTAATTAAAAAAAGAAAAAAAAATCCTTCAAAAATGTCAATCTCCTTTCTTTTTAAATAATGAGAAAAAAAACAAACAAAACAAACATTGAAGTATTGTCAATATTCCATTAAGGTTTTGGACAAGTTTCTTCCACATTGGCATCTGGATCAATATTTGGATCAATATTTTTATTTCATTTGTATTCTATTTCTCTCCAGATTGAAAGGAAAAAAAATACACAAGTGTGGCAGGAATCTTTATCTCTTAGAATGAGACCTGTTCTAACTGCATCAGTAGAGAAACAGAGAAAAAAAAACAAAAAAAACTCAGGCATTCTGTGTTCTCCAGCCCTTTGGAGGGCTGGGATCAATTGTCTTGTCTTGTTTCGTCTTTGAGCAACTCAGAGCATGAAAGCAGTAAAGAGGATATCCGGGGTTCACCCTAAGGCCTTTGTAGCACAGGCCACAGGAAATGGGTCAACATTTGCCAACAATTGGTCAACAAACACGGTTTCACATTTGCCTATTGAGACACTTCAAATAAATTCTTTTCAAAGCTTAAATGGAAATGAAAGATACACTCAAGAAAGACTTGAAAGCATACAAGTGAAAGTAAAAGAAGGGCCGACTGTTAATATTTCCTAGAATGATGGATTCACCGTTTTTTTGTCAGACATTTGTTTCAGAATTTATATCACTTGATTAAAAAAAAAAACAACAACACACAGACACACAAAACAATCATCACAACAGTCTCGGTTAATAAAAATAGTCAACACATTTTAATACAGGTTGAGAATCCTTTATCCAAAATTCTTGTTACTGGAAGAGCTTTGATTTTCAGATTTTGGAATACAGGTTATTTAATTTGTATATAGCATCTATGAAATTGGGCAGCTTGGAGATGGAACCCAAGCATAAACACAATATCCCTTTACATTTCACAACACAGCTTCTACATATACCCTGAAGGTAGTTTGATATAAATGACATATACCCTGAAGGTAGTTTGATATAAATGACATATACCCTGAAGGTAGTTTGATATAAATGACATATACCCTGAAGGTAGTTTGATATAAATGACATATACCCTGAAGGTAGTTTGATATAAATGACATATACCCTGAAGGTAGTTTGATACAAAATTTTGTGTAAATACAAATACAGGTAATAACGCTAGTCATGTAATGCTCACATAGATTTATTAAGCGGTGAAATTAAGATTTCATGTAAAAATAATGTATTGTACTTTCTGTATGTATACAAAAAAACAAAAAAAAACAAAACCTGATCACTACTTAAAAAAAAAAAAAAAAATAAATAAATAAAAATAAATGCAGGACTTTGACATTTTGAATAATATCTTTACTGAGCATACTGAGCATAAAACACCTGGTAAGTAATCCATGAATTAAGGTGTGGTGACAATCGCAAACAGAAAACTGGCATCAACGTAGGCTATGTAGCTGGGCTGGGGAACCCCCACCCAGGGTAGATGAGGTCACACCCAACAGCTGCACATCACCTAGGAATATTCCCAGTGCTTTCTGTGATTTTCCTTTTGTGGCAAGTCATATCAGCACCTGAAAAACTTTCAGATTTTTGAGGTTTTTGGATAAAGGATACTCAACCTGTAAATTCATTCATCTGTACACCTTACCATCAGGATACTCAACTAATGGGCTAACTAACAATTGTCAACCAAAGTATTACATTGAAATGTTACTCCCTTATCATGCAACTTTTGAAGACCTAATTTTAAAGCTCATTTTAAGTAGGTCTCATCATACACGAGATATAAAATTAGCATACGTACCGCTGACCATGGCTACGGTGTTGACAAAACTATATATCTATTTACTGTAGTAAAATTAGCTTAAAAATTAGGTCTTCAAAGGTGGCATGATACAAGAATTTATATGATAGAAATATTATTTGAAACTTTATCAAGGATCAAAATGCCATAATCAAGAACCTCTATCATAGAAACATTTTTTTTTTTTTTTTTTGTTTCATTTTTTTTTTTTTTGGCAAGGTAGGGTGGGAGTTGATATTAGACTGATTGCTTCAAGATATTTACTAAACTTAGCCTAGTTTGGTCCCAGACCATTGGTTGGCTGTTTCAAATACTTGAATATTTGACTTGAATATGTGTTTTAAGAAGTCAACCCTGAAAGATTTACCTTGTGAAGAGGGAGGCATAGAATATGGTGAAGGCTGATGCCCTGGACCAAATTCCCACGAGTTCATTGTTGGGAGGGGCATACTGGAAGGAGACATGGCTTTCATCCAACGACTGTTGCCGCCACTGCATTGATCTGAAAGAGTAATATCCAAAACAAAGGAATTGGTAAGAACCCTGATGATTATAGTCTCCAAGAAAGTCTTCATGAAACATTACAAGAGTTTCTCTGAGCCTGAATTCAACTCCAAAAACAATCTTGCATGTATGTATATTTTTGGCCCCTGTCAAGGCTGACTATGCAGGTAACAGCTTTTGGCTATTCCTGCCCGGGCAGGTATACTGTGGGAAGATTGCTTTCCCAAGTGTTTACTCACCCATTCTTTTCTGCCAGTGATTGAAGCATGACATTGAATCAAGATATTTGACAACAGAGTGCAAAGAGAAGTGGATTCATGCCTTCACAAAGGCAATAGTGAAAAGTGTAAATTAGAAGTAGCCTCAGCCAAAATTTGAACTCGGTTTGCCAATTACCATTTTCTATACTAGTAAGCGTTATGCCACCTGAAGCATCAGACGATGCAAGCTGAATATAAAAAAGTCATGTTGGGTGTGGAAATGAAACATTCTTGGTGAGGAGGGATGGTCAAACTAATCATTGATGGGTACAATTACTATTTTGGGATATATATATATATATATATATATATATATATATATAATCTCCAGGTAAGATGAGAATGAATAGAGTACAATTCCAATGTTTGTAACATTTAATTTAAATGATAGCTCAATACAAAGTAGAGCAATATAGTTTTTATGTGGGGGGGGGGACTCATATAGCATATAACTTGTCTAGCTTTTTGTTAGATTACTATTCTATTTTTCTTACGAAATGACATCGTCTAAATGTACAACATATATCCATCCGCTCCTATTTGGCATCTGTTGCTTGCCATCGATTTCAAATCTATGTATCATGACCCATTTATGTAAAATAATTTAATTTTTTGCTTCTTCCCTTAGTTTAAATTTAACTTAGGTCTTATTGGATTGTTCGATCTAAGCACACACCTCATAACCACCCCACCTCTTTTTCTTTTTTTGTAAAAAGAGGCTGTATTTTGCTTTTAAATCTGATTAAATCATTCACTCGTCAGTAATTTACAATTGCCTGATGAGATGCGTTGTATGCATATCGAAACACGACTGTAATTGCATAGCAATTTTGACAGGTTTTTGATGTAATATCCAAAAATAAAGTGTGTGTGTGTATATATATATATATATATATATATATATATATATATATATATATATATATATATATAAAAAAAAAAGAATTGAGGGATTTATTCTGAAATAGATACGCCATTTTTATTTATTACACACTGTATTATGTTTATCAGCATGTGCATCCAAGAAAAATGTGTTCTCTGCCAGGGATCAAACCTACATCTCCCTTTTTTAGGGAAAGTGCTGCTCAGTCATGAACAATGTCACAGTATGAAGAAAAAAAAATAGTAAAGAAATATAAAAGTAAACTAAGATTTCTTGAAGGCACAGGCCAATATATGTTAATAAACTGTTTAATAAATAGAAATTGGGCATCTATTTTAAATATGAAGTATTCACTATTTTCAGATGGAATGTATCTGTAACGGAATAAAATGACAAGTGGAAAAACTATTCTTAGCTGATGAGTTTCATCCTGAGGGAGTTTATCAAGGTAAATGTAAGATTTATTTTGTTGCACATGGTTATAGACAAAAGCAAGGATGGCATTGGTTCATCAAGGCCTTTAAATTTTGACAGACCTTTTAAACACCTGGTGAATACTCACAAACGTTCTCAAATTTAAAAGCCTTGCGAAATCAACGACATCCTTGCTTTCATACATTAATTTGTGCAACAAAATAAATCTTAGAGTTTCTTTGATAAAGTCTATCAGAGGATGAAATAAATTTTGCCTCCCCAAAAATGACCACCCAGAGCATTCCTGGATATTTAAAAACACGCCATCTTTGCAATATATATATATATATATATATATATATATAACACACTCACACGTGTGTGTGTATTTAGGCAGCATTTTTCCATTCATACATGTTTCATTAAATAATATAGACAAGTGTTGTATATTTTATGTAAACTCTTTTCATAACGTCTGATAAGCTTAATAACATTATAATATGTATCAATATTGTGATTTTCTTTCTTCGTTTAATGATTATGTTATTAAGCTTATCAGACGTTATGAAAAGAATTTACATAAAATAAATAGACAACACTTGTCTATATTATTTAATGAAACATGTATGAATATATATATATATATATATATATATATATATATATATATATATATATGAATGAGAGAATTAATATTAATAGAATTAAATGTTCACTTATCCTGTCTCTACTCAGAGTTCTAAAGAACTGGTTGTAAGAATTCCTTAACCTTATTTCTTTTACAATCAAGTTTCCTGAAGTGTGGGTGTAATTCCACAAAACCCAGAGTAGAAACAAGATTAAGTGACCAATTAAATTTATGTGTGTGGGCAGCAACCTTTCATTACAAGTTTGTTTCAAAGCTGCAGGGAAGTGTTTTCTGTTTATTCTATTCGACAAATAAAATTATTTTAAAAGTTTAAGGGATAAATCAGTGGATTAGGTTTTCTTGGAAGCACCTGATGTGTAGGATGAGACCGAGAGAGAGAGAGGGAGGGAGGGAATTACTTTTTATTTCTCTTGTATACATTATCTACTAAACTAAGGTTCTGATTAAGCAGTTTCAGATGAACACTTAGACATTTTCAAGATCTCCAGACGTTATGACAAGAACTGTAATTGTAGATCACATTTCAGAACAGTGGGTCACATGAGATGTGGCTCAACATAATGTGGGCCATCTACTAAAAAGTTTAAATGGTTTTGGTCTTTATCACTGCAGAAGACCAGATACATAGAAAGATTTTTTTTTTTTCTATAATCAAAATGTCTCATTTATTGATGACCACGTGATTAACACACACTGCTACATGGGATTTGTGTCCCGGAAAGGGATATATTTGTTCGAAGTAGCAAAGTGGTTTTGGACTACTGTAACCGGGTAGGACAACCTAGCAGGTAACCGTAATGGACTGGTCCTCGTCATAGTGGTAGGCAATAGGCGAAGACCTGTACCTCCAGCCAATCACATTACTGTGAGGGGGAACAAGGTGTATGCATA